GGAAGCTGGTGGCCTGGGTGCAGGCCAGGTGCCTCACCCTCACTCCTCAAGCCCAGACACACAGCCCTTGTGCCTGGGTGAACCACGGACCACGAGGGCCAGGAAGAGGTCTGGCAACAGTGTCTGTACCTGCCCTCCTCCTACAATGACAACACAGCCTGGGGGACGCTGGCTCACGAAGCTCATTGGGGGCCCTGGCATCTGAGTCAGCAGAGGTCCAGGGACTACGCTGCGATGAGCAGCTGGAATAAAACTCGGTCTGGGACTCCCGGCTCCTGCAAAATCTCGGAAGCCGCGTGGGGGGCACCGTCCGCCCCATGTCAGCGGGCAGTTAAGGGTGGGATGAGAGGGACCCCGTGGAATAGGCAGCAGCCGAACCTTTACTGCTTTTGCACAATGTCAGGGGAGGGCCCAGTGCATCAGAGACCAGGGGGTAACCACTGTTCTGGGGCTGAGACAAGAGGGCACGGACTCCTGCCACGGGTGAGTCCGGCCCCGCGAGGAGCAGGCTCCGTGTGGAATGACAGCGTGCAGCCGGGTGCCTGGCCTGCTTCCGAGTGCAGGGTTTTCCCAGTGGACCCATGCGGTGCTTCCGCACAAAGGCCCCTTGGCGTCCCTGCTAACTTTTCGCCAGGGTAACAGCGACAGTTCCCGGGGGGCAGGACCCTGCCTCCCTCCTAGGTCTGGGTATCCCCTTAAAGTTTCAGGCAGGCTGAGCTGGAGAACCAGCCAGCCGATGGGCAGGTGCTGGCCTGATGGAGGGTTGGGGACCTTGGCGACAGGGACCGGGGCAGGGAATCAGGGGAACAGGACCCCCTGCTAGCAGCAGAGAGTCCACCTGAGGACACAGGAGACGGGGGAGGCCAGCTACCTGGTTCACAAGGACCGTGTCCTTCATTCAGGGGCAGGTTGGTGGGTTTGGAGCAGTGAAAAATTCAGGCCTGGCGAGGAGCTTCCGAGGCCCGTGGCTGTGCTCACCTCTCATGTATTCGACGGTACCATCAAGTACGAGATTGAGGAGTGGGTCGAACCCTTTCAGGATGCCGCTGGCTTGTAGGAATCACCGAGAAGAGAAACGGAAAAGCGTAAAACAAACAGTCGTTCCAGGGACAGGGGCACACGGCGCCTGGGAGGCAGTACACGGAGATGGGGGCTCACCCCCCAGGAAGGGGCTGATGTGGGAGCGCCCTCTCCGGGGCGGGAGGGATCAGGGACCAAGGGGAAAGTGAGGGGTTTCCAGAAGGGGAGCAGTGAGGATGACTCTCACCCCCCCCCACCCCCCAGCGTGGTTGGCAAATGTCTTCAGCAAAGGGCCGGCCGGCGCACATCTGCACATCTCAACCACGCGGGCTACGTGGTCCCCATGGCAACGACTCCACTCCGCCCTCCTGGGGCGAGAGCAGCCAGACCACAAGCAGACGTTCAGGTGTGGCTGGGCCACAGCGAAACCTCACTTACAACCCAGAAATGTGAATTTCAGGTAATTCACGAGCCATACAAAAGCAAGCAACGGCGAGCCTCGGATAGAGTAGGGCTCTCCAGCCACAGGAAGGAACTGTATGATGTGCCCCGAAAGCCCCCTGCCCCTCCTGCCTCACCCCTCCCATTTTCAGGCCTCCTGTCCCAGGCACGGCTGGCAGAAGCACGTGTCCCCCCGCGTCACTGCAGCACGCAGCTGTAGCGTCCACACAGAGAACGGGCTTGGGCACGACCAGCAGCCAGCCCCATGTGGCACAGGGAGGGGGTCTGCAAACTGCGGCCCGCGGACCAAATCCAGCCTGCTGCGTTTCGCGCGGACCTTCGCTGGCACCCAGCCACATTCGCTTGGCCACGTACTGTCTGTGGCTGCTTTCACGCTGCAGAATTGTGACCGGGGTCCTCTGGCTCGCAAAGCTTAAAGTACTTCCTCTCTGGCCTTTTACGGAAAATATCTGCCAGCCTCAGACTTCCTGGGCTTGAGCCCCTGACTCTGTGCTTCCTCTCTCCCTGCCTGTCCCTGCCCTGCAAAACACATTACGGGGATCTGCCCGATGGGGTCGCGAACAGCACGGGTGGCAATAACATACGGGCACGTGGCACGGAGCCCGGAGCAGGGGACCGGCAGCCGTGGGTCTACCCTCCTTCATGCGGCGCGAGTGGGGTTCTAAAACGGAGCTAATATCCCCTCCCTGGTGACCACTGTGGGCAGCCCCTCCCCTCAAGTGTGTGTGGGGGGGGTGCTGTGAGTGCCGGTGGGGTGCCTACTCCTAATGCGATTAGGTTATTTTGGCGATAAGGAAGCAGGATTCTGTAGATGTGACGAGAGTCCCCAAGTCGGCGGACCTCTGGTTCATCTAAAGAGACATGACACTGGGTTGGCCTGACCTGGCTGGATGAGCTGCGCAGGAAACAGGAATTTTCTGCAAGAAAAAGACTGGAAGCGTGAGAGAGCTTTCCCTGCTGGCCTGGAAGGAGCAAACTGCCCCGCTGTGTGGACAGAGTCCTGGGGCAACGGCTGGCGGGCAGCCTCGGTGAGCCAAGTGTCCTGGACACACCCGCAGCAGAACACGGGGACTCCAGTCCTGCAGCCGTGAGGAACTGAGTTCTACCAGCAACCAGGCTTGGAGGAAGGCCCTGGGCCTGAGGTAAGAGGCTCTAAGCCCCTCCTTGACCGCAGCCTGTGAGAGACCTTGGGCCCAGGGCACCCAGACTCTGGACGCACACCACGAGGTGATAAATTCGTGTTGTCCAAGCTGCTGAACTGGTGGCCGTTGGCTATGGAGGGCGGAAAACCAGGACAGACGCCCCAAAAAACAAGAGCTGCATCTCGTTCGTAAGTCCGAGAGCCAGCATGGTGTGGACGGAGCGGACGTCTATTCGGGTTCAAATTCTCTCTGCTGTCGGCTACGCACACTTGCATGCGCTGTGTTTTATTATTTTTTAATTTTTTTTTTTTTTTTTTACATTTATTTATTTTTGAGACAGGGAGAGTCAGCATGAACGGGGGAGGGTCAGAGAGAGCGGGAGACACAGAATCTGAAACAGGCTCCAGGCTCCGAGCTCTCAGCACAGAGCCTGACGCGGGGCTCGAACTCACGGACTGCGAGATCACGACCTGAACCGAAGTCGGCCGCTTAACCGACTGAGCCACCCAGGCGCCCCATCATGCGCTGTGTTTTAACCCTGCTGACGCCACCTGATCATCCGTGAGAAGGGATCTGGCTCGCTGTCTCATGAGATAAACTGAAGACCAAAGAGGCAGCTGAGTGAACGAAACGTTGGTTCAAGTGCTCACTGGTGTCAGGAACGATGCAAAGCACCCCCGTGACCCTTTGCTCCTTCCCCGCTGCCGCCCGCCGAGGAGGTGGAGAAACAGCTTTGTGTGACAAGTGAAGAAGCCGGGGCTTGGAGCCACGCCGTCTGGCTCTAGAACCCAGAGGCTAGGCCGGGCAGCCACCATAGCTAGGCCACACTACCTACGCGCACGAGCGACACTGGGCCTCGCTCCTGCCCTCTCCGTACTAGGTTCCAGGGGGAAGATGCAGAGGTCATCAGCGTGTTCACATGCATAAAGCCGGGGGCTGTGACAGGTGATACCAGGAGCTCACACCCAAGGGGCATGACCTGGGGAGGAGACTCAGGGAAGGCTTCCCGGAGCAAGAACCTTGAGCTGAGAGCAGGACGAGGACTCTGAGGTTAACCTGGAGTTAAACAGACCGAAAACGGAGTCACCTGTGCCAAGTGGACACCACCACACGGAGACACTTTTCGGCTCTCCCAGGAACATAACTCCAACCAGTCAGTCTGGAATTTCCCGGCCAGCACCAAGTGAGACCATCTTCCCGGTGGACCCCCAGCCATCCCCCAAAGGAAGGTGACCTCCCCTGAAACAATCCACTCTTTGTCTGTTCCTGCACCCTCCCGCCTACAAAAAAAACCTTCTGTTTGGTACAGCCTCTCCGCTCCCTTCCATCTGCTAGATGGGTCGCTGCCTGACTCACGGACTGTTGAAGAAAGCCAACAGATCGTTAAAACTCCCTCAGTTGAGGTCTGTGCTTTAACACGGGTAACAAGCTAGCCTGGTAGGAGCACTCCAGGCAAAGGAAGCGTACACCTCACGTCCCTGTGGTAGTTGAGGGCTCCACGTGCCACTGAGAGGTACAAAAGGCTGTCCTTTACCCTAAGCCGGCGCGGAGCCTGGAAGAACTGAGCAGCAAACACGGAGATTCAACCTGTTTCTAACGGGTCTCCGTGGCCCATTCTTAGAGATCGACTGTAGGGGCAGTGGTCTCCACCGGGGAGGTGTCTGGCTTGCTTGTCAAAACGAAGGGATGCTCCCGGCACCTGGTGGCATCTAGGGGTGCTGCTCAACACCCCAGGGTGCCCAGGGCAGCCCTCACAACCGAAAACCATGTGGCCCCAATGTCACCGGTGCGGCGCCTGAGGAACCTGGTGCAGGGGGGTCGGCGAGGGGCTGCGACCGCTGCCCGGGACGAGCTCGGAGGGAGAGCACCGCACAGGAGGCAAGCCGGGAATCCCAGTCCCGGCTGCAACTCTGGGCCTCTAGGTGGCTGGGACCCGCTCCCGTGCCTCAATTTCCCCACGTTAGAAGGCTGGTTCGAGTTATCCGAGCAAAGTGCTCAAAGCGGTGCCCAGGCATCAGCCACCATTCTCGCCTCGGCCGTCACTCACCCTAAATACCGTTTAGGGCGTGGGGGCGGCGGGCTCTCACCTTCGCGGCCTCCCTGAAACTTCACCCGGATCGTCTTGTCGATGTACTTAGATAAGTCCAAGATGCTCTCTTTTTTCTTCTTCTCTTTGTCCTGCAGGGGAAGCAGAGCGCGTGAGGCGCAGAGCGCCGACGGGTCCCACGCCGCCCGCCCAGCCGGCCCTGCCGCGCGCTCACCGCCATCTTGTCGCACCGCGCCGCTCGGCGCAGGCGCTGCCGCCGCGCCCTTTGACCCTGCCCTCGCGCGCAGGCGCGGAGCACACAGGGCGCTGGCGCGCCCAGGAGCGACGGGGCGTTGCTGGGAAACATCTGCCGACGCCTGCGGACCGGCCGACATGGCGGCGGCGGCGGCGGCGGCGGCGGTGGCGGCGCTGGCGCGGCTCGCGGCGGCCTTCCTGCTCCTCGCGGCCCAGGTGAGGCTGCGTCGGCCCCGCCGGCCCCGCCGGCTGCGGCACCCGGGCCCTCTGCCCCGGCCCCGCGCAAGCCCCGACTGGCCTGGCCTGGGGGCCCGCCTCCGGTTTGCGCGCCTCCAGCGCGGGTGGCCCGCAGGCCCGGAGCTCGGCCGTGACCTTGCGGGCCTGTCCCCGGCCAGCCTCTCTTTCCTGCCTTGGAGCCTTCCCCAGCCGCAGCGTCACTCGGCTGTGCCGGGGTCTGAAGTTTGGGAATTCCCTTACCTCCTCAGGCCCTGCTCTGTCTCGAGGTCTCCAACCGCCGCCGGGGGCGCCGCTGCTTGGCCCCGTGGCCTTGGGCAGGGGGCTGCCCCTCCCCGACCCTCAGTTTCCCCTTGCGCGCGTTGTTAGCGCCCACCCCCGTGGTTGCGGTGAGCCGTCCAACGCGGCACCCAGTGCCTGACTGTGTCCGGGAGCGGCAAGGGGCCCATCCTGGGAGTGGGGTCGAATCGCCGCCCTGCATTTTGTCCCGTGACCTTGGGCAAGGGAGGTCCCCTCTTTGGCCGTCTGTTGCGCTTCTGCAAAAGGAAGAGAGGAGCACAGCGAGGATTGAGCGAGATGATGCATGGGGTGATTTACGTGCGGCGTGCATCTTCTTGGGCACTTAAGTGAAGGGTCTCCCCGGGGAGTGGGGGACCTGCCATGAGCTGGCTGATGTACATTATCATAAGCGCCTTTTTTATTTTCAAGTCCTCTCTCCCCTGGGTTATGCAGGTCAGGGAATGGTGTCCCTACAGCCCTGGACCCACAGCCATTAACCTTGATGTATCCACTCCAGCCCACCACCTCCACGTTTCTCTCTGTGGTCACTTTCGTCTCCCACATTCTCCAATCCATCCTGGACACAGCAGGAGTGACCTCTTTGAAAGTGTGTCAATGGGGCGCCTGGGTGGCGCAGTCGGTTAAGCGTCCGACTTCAGCCAGGTCACGATCTTGCGGTCCGTGAGTTCGAGCCCCGCGTCAGGCTCTGGGCTGATGGCTCAGAGCCTGGAGCCTGTTTCTGATTCTGTGTCTTCCTCTCTCTCTGCCCCTCCCCCGTTCATGCTCTGTCTCTCTCTGTCCCAAAAATAAATAAACGTTGAAAAGAAAAATTAAAAAAAAAAAAAAAAAAGAAAGTGTGTCAAGTCTCGTGGCATCCAGATGAGAGCCTTCCCACGGCTTTCAGCGCATTTGGGAGGCCTCTGTGGTTTGGCTGCTTGGGAAGAAACTTCCTCTCCTTTTCTATTTGCGGAGGGGACTCAGTTCTCTGGTCTTCCCCGTTTCCCTGGGATGCCCCTGGTCATCCTTGTGGTCTCAGCTTGCTTGTTCTTCCCTCCTCCCCAGAGACGCTCTCTGGGACGCCCCCTCCCCAGCCCCCAGCACTCCCTCCGATGCCGCTCACTCATTTCCTCGTCTGAGCAAGCTGAGGGCAGGGACTTTGAGCTCTCCAGACATTTTGAAGGAGAACAAAGTGAGAAGTGGACAAAGGGCAATGGGAGGACCATGGAGAGAGTGACCTGGTTTGCTTGGGGAGGCTTTTCAGAAGCAGAGGCACCTAAAGGGTGTTCTGAAGGGTGGATAAGAGTTTGCCAGGTCTCTCTCTCTCTCTCTCTCTCTCTCTCTCTCTCTCTCTGTCTCACACACACACACACACACACACCAAAAAAAAAAAAAAAGTCCACGCTCCTGGATAGGAAGAACAAATATTGTTAAAATGTCGCTAACTACCGAAAGCAATCTACATATTCAATGCATTACCTATCAGAATAACACCAGCATTCTTCATGGAGCTAGAACAAACAATCCTACAATTTGTACGGAACCAGAAGAGACCCCGAATAGCCAACGCAATCCTAAAAAAGAAAACTAAGGCTGGAGGCATCACAATCCCAGACTTCAAGCTGTATTACAAAGCTGTAGTCATCAAGACAGTATGGTACTGGCACAAAAACAGACACTTAGATCAATGGAACAGAATAGAGAACCCAGAAATGGACCCGCAGACGTATGGCCAACTGACCTTTGACAAAGCAGGAAAGAATATCCAGTGGAATAAAGACAGTCTCTTCAGGAAGCGGTGCTGGGAAAACTGGACAGCGACAGGCAGAAGAATGAACCTGAACCACTTTCTTACACCAGACACAAAAATAAACTCAAAATGGATGACAGACCTAAACGTAAGACAGGAAGCCGTCAAAATCTGAGGAGAAAGCAGGCAAAAACCTCTTTGATCTTGGCCTCTTACTCAACGCGTCTCCGGAGGCAAGGGAAACCAAAGCAAAAATGAACTACTGGGACCTCATCCAAATAAAAAGCTTCTGCACAGCGAAGGAAACAATCGGCGAAACTAAAAGGCAACTGACGGAATAGGAAAAGATATTTGCAAATGACATATCAGATAAAGGGTTAGTATCCAAAATCTATAAAGAACTTATCAAAGTCAACACCCAAAAAACAAATAATCCATGGGCAAAAGACCTGAACAGACACTTCTCCAAAGAAGACAACCAGATGGCCAACCGACACGTGAAAAAATGCTCCACGTCACTCATCATCAGGGAAATACAAATCAAAACCACAAGGAGATACCACCTCGCACCTGTCAGAATGTCTAACGTTAACAGCTCAGGCAACACAGATGTTGGCGAGGATGCAGACGAAGAGGATCTCTTTTGCACTGCTGGTGGGAAACAGCCACTCTGGAAAACAGTCTGGGGCTTCCTCAAAAAACGAAAAATAGAACTACCCGACAACCCAGCAATTGCACTACTAGGCATTTATCCACGGGATACAGGTGTGCTGTTTCGAAGGGACACTTGCACCCCTATGTTTATAGCAGCCCTATCAACAATAGCCAAAGTGTGGAAAGAGCCCAAATGTTCATTGACGGATGAGTGGATAAAGAAGATGTGGTATATATATACAATGGAGTATTACTCAGCAATCAAGAAGAATGAAAGCTTGCCATTTGCAACAGTGTGGATAGAACTAGAGTGTATTATGCTAAGTGAAATTAGTGAGAGAAAGACAAACATGTGACTTCACTCGTGGAAGGGAAGCAAAAATAATATAAATACAGGGAGGGGGACAAAATATAAGACTTTTTTTTTTAATGTTTATTTTTGAGAGAGACAGAGACAGAGTAGAAGCGGGGTGGGGCAGAGAGAGAGAGACATAGGATCTGAAGCAGGCTCCAGGCTCTGAGCTGTCTGCACAGAGCCTGACGTGGGGTTCGAACTCCAGAACCGTGAGATCATGACCTGGGCCCAAGTCAGACGCTTAACCAACTGAGCCACTCAGGCGCCCCAAGAGACTCTTAAAGATAGAGAACAAACTGAGGGCTGCTGGAGGGGTTGCGGGTGGGGGGATGCGCTAAATGGGTGAGGGGCATTAAGGAGCACACTTGTTGGGATGAGCACTCAGTGTTATACGTAGGGGATGAATCACTGAATTCTACTGAAATCATTGCACTATATGCTAACTAACTTGGATGCAAATTAAAAATAAATATATTATTTTTTTAAAAATGGGGAAATTAAAAGGCGAAGCAAATGTGACAAAATATTAAAGTGAGTTGAGGGGCATCTGGGTGGCTCAGTTGGTTAAGCGTCTAGCTGGGGCTCAGGTCATGATCTCACAGTTCATGAGTTGGAGCCCCATGTCGGGCTCTGTGCTGACACTCAGAGCTTGGAGCCTGTTTTGGATTCTGTGCCTCCCTCTCTCTCTGCCCCTCCCCTGCTCACACACTGTCTCTCTTTCAAAAATAAACAATAAAAAAAATACAGTGAGTTGAGCTGAGTACGTATTTCATACTATCTCATAATATGGTTATTTTATAATAAAAATAAAAATTGTAGTAAGTAAATAATACAAAATTAAATAAGTAAATAACTTCACATTAAAAAAGAAAAAAAGTTTGCCAGGTCTCAAGGCAGAGGGAGGGTGTTGCCGGTGATGGGTGGAGCTTGAACAGGGGTGGAGGTGTGAGAGCTGATGTTTTATTTTGAGAAGGTGAAGAGGCCACTTTGGCGTGTAGGATGATATCATGCTCACGCCCTGAGAAAGACGACACCCCCAAGGAGGCCCTTCGGATGCACTTGAAGGAGGCTCGGCGGAGGGCAGGGGGAGGGGCAGCGGTGGGCGTGGCTGGCGGCCGAGGGTAAAGGGCAGGCTCCGCCGCGGCCTCCTGGGCGGACCGAGGAGGGCAGTGCTCCCGGTGCTGGGGCGTTCGGGCTCTCTCCCGGGCGGGACCTCGACCTGCGCGCCAGCCGCGGAGAGTTTTGTGCGTGCCCTTCGCGGAACGCGGCCCGGTCGGGTGTGTTGGCCGTGAGGCGGGGCAGACGGCCTTGGGGCGTGCGGGTGTGGCTCTCTCTAGAAGTTTGGGTCCTGCTGCCTGGGAAGAAGACTAGCTTTCCACCGGGTAGGAGGCTGCTTGCCGACAGCCCTGAATTCATTTGCTACCATTTTGTGACCCTGGCTGGGGGATTCCCCAGATAGACACATCTCCCCCAGTGGCTACCGGAAGTGTACTGTCAAGGCCAGTAACAGACCCGGAGCAAAGTTGGTTCCCTCCCCGCCCCGGTCCTCCCTTCCCCCTCCTCCACCTGTCCCCTCTTCTCCACCTGTCCCCTCTTTTCCATCTGTGCTCTCTGCCCCTCCTCCACCTGTCACCACCCCTCCTCTGCCTCAGCATCTCCAAGCTTCCTGGGTTCTTATTTCTACCCCCTCTCCTAAGACCTACCAAGTCTTAGAGGGGAGGCTACTTCTGGCCTGGACGCATTGGCTCCTCTTAGACCCCCTGATGTGGAATGCATTCGCGGTCTCCCTTGCCATTCCTGAACCTACTTGGTGGCCGTGACACGTCGGAAGGTGGCCTGTCCGTTATCCCAGACCGGGACTGGCCAAGCCCCACTTGTAGCATATTGGGTCCTTTTGAGGAACATCTTCTGGTTCCTTTAACTCCGTGGGGGAGGAGACTGTACGTGGGCATCCGACGGAAGCGCAGGTTGATTTAGCAGGAGGCTGCTTGTGCCAAGTGTGGGGACGGAGGTCTGTATTCCTCAGTGACCTTTCTAGAAGCTTCTACCCGTTCCCCCTTTTTACTCTTTTTTTTTTTTTTAATTTTTTTTCCAACGTTTATTTATTTTTGGGACAGAGAGAGACAAAGCATGAACGGGCGAGGGGCAGAGAGAGAGGGAGACACAGAATCAGAAACAGGCTCCAGGCTCTGAGCCATCAGCCCAGAGCCCGACGCGGGGCTCGAACTCACGGACCGCGAGATCGTGACCTGGCTGAAATCGGCCACTTAACCGACTGCGCCACCCAGGCGCCCCAACCCGTTCCCCCTTTACACACGTGACATTTTTCTCCAACAACCTGGGTCCCACAGATCAGGGGTCAGCAAAGGTGTCCCGCAGAGGCCCAGATGGTGAATATTTCTGGCTTTGTGGGCCACGTGGTCTGTGTAGCGACTGCCCAGCTCTGCCGTGGTCACGGAGAGCAGCCGGAAGCCCTGCGCACAGGAGGGGTGGCCGTGCTCCAATGAAACGTATTCAGGAGCACGGAAGGTGGGGTGCAGGAGGCCGGTGGGTTGGGGATCGGATGTGCTCCATAGTGGCCCACGGTGAGGAGGTGCTGGGGTCCTGAACACGGGGTGGCCCATTGGAAAGAGCAGACGGCCAGGCACAGTACGCGGGGCCTCAGCCAGGGTGAAGGATGCCCTTGGGGGACAGTCTGGTGGGAAGAATCTGGAAGAGGGGGCAATTAGGAGTTAGGAAGTTCTGTCTCTGGTGGAGGGACTGAGGTGAGCGGAGGTTGGCCAGAGCAGGTCGGGGAAGGACACAGCCTTAGCGAGATGCTAGGAAACCTCCGGTCAGCCTCGGGCGGCCCCTGGCCCTGTTGCCACGAGCCCGGGTTCTTAGAGCTGGGTGCTGTGTCAAGCACGGCTTCACAGAGCACACCCAGCAGTCCGCGTGGCCTTGGGTCCCTGGCTCAAGGCGGCAGACGGAAACGTCAGAGTGGAGATGCTAGCTGGAAGAGAGGTGGCCGGGTGCCTCGGAGAAGCGCAGGGTGGACACCCAGTGCCTCCTGTTGGCCTCCAGGTTGCGGGTTTGGGAGGCCGGGGGGGTCGGTCCACGCTCCCGCCGCCACAAGTGACCAGGGCCCGGGTGAGAAGCTCCCAGAACAGCCGGGGCCTTGCTGTGTTCCCACCGAGGCTCTGGCCGGATGAAAGCCCGTCAGGGCCCCAGGCCTGGTGTTGGGAGCCGTGAGCCATCAGGACCCTCGGCCCCGACGGTGAGGTGTGTGTCTGGCGGTGCCAGCTGGGTCCTGCTGGTGCACGTGTGTCTCCTTGGCAGATTCTTGGGGTACCAAGGAGTGAGTTTTCCATCTCGGCCTTGAGGTGTTTGCAGCCCATGGGGAGCACGAGCTAGAGACACGGGGGCCCCAAGAGCCCTAGGTGCACACGGCAGGATTCGGGGGTCAGGCGGGCGCAGGGCCCCCTGGGTGTGGTGGCTGGACTCAGCCTCCTGGCACCTCGCACAGGGTGTCTCTCCTGAGACCCCCTCCCCTCTCAGCAGACCCTGGGGAGCTACTCAGACTTGGGGCAAGCCTACCGGCCAGCAGAGGAGCCAAGACCTGGGCGTCACATGCCGCGTGGCCCGCTGGTGACAAAGCCCTCCTGAGGGACAGAGGTCATGCTCTGCGCCCCTGCCCCAGGCCAGTGTAGGGGAGGAGGCGGGAGAGGTCTTGTGAATCAAGCCCACCTGAGGGCCAGGCAGCGGCTCCAGGGAGGGATGGAGACAGGGAGCGGGGACACCTTTGTGTGATGGAATTGTCACATAGATTGAGCTGGCGTTCAGCAGAAAAGAGGGCTGTCGGCCTCTTCTGTCCCAGGCCCCCAGCCACCCCACTGCCCTCGAGGGCCGTCCAGTGCTCCGAGGACGCGGATCTGCCCCTGTGCCTTGCTTTGAGTTCAGACGAAGCTTGCTGGATCCTCCTGACCCTCTGGGGGTGGCCCTTCCCCTCCCTCCTCCTCCCTCCTTCTGGGGAGCCGGGGCTGTGTGGGGTTAGGGTTAGGTGTGTGGGGAGGCAGGCTCTGGCAGGGACAACTGTGCGCGCCCTGATGATGACGTCAGCACGACCCTCCTCTGTGGCGAAGTCTGGCAGTTCCCAGCCACGCCCCAGGGCAAGGGGTTCAGTCCTGACCTGGGATCCCACTGGCTGCCAGGATCCCACTGGCCGGTCACATCACTGGGTCTGACGCCCTGCCCCCCCCCCCGGAAAGTTGGCACCAGGGGCCTGGACCCAGCTGGCCTCGCTGGTCAGTGGCCAGATTTTCCAGGAGCCTGGTTTCCAGGGTCGGGGGCAATCCCCAAACCTGCTGGGGTGCAGAAAAGCTCCTCCAGGCCTCCTGCCTGGCCCTGTGCTCCCGGCCTCTGCCTGGAGCCCCTGGACAGACCCGCTGGCTCCCCACGTCCCCCTCGTGACGGAGCCGTGGGGGTTTCATTCTCCCCGTCCCATCGATCCCTGGAGGGCCCCGTGACGTGGTGCTGTCCCAGCCGTGAGAGCCACGGCCACGGCCAGCACCCAGGTCTCCCTCGAGAAGCTTGTCCCTGCCTTGTTCCTCTGCCGTAAGATGCGGATGGCGGTGTCCCACCCGTCCTGTCCGGGGAAGAAACCAGCCCAAACCCCGAGCTGGGGGGTGGGGGTTGTCCCCCTTGTCAAGCCCCGGTGCTGAGCTCTCTGACTCACCGCCCTGTCACCCCAGGTGGCCTGTGAGTACGGCATGGTGCACGTGGTCTCCGAGTCAGGGGGCCCCAGAGGCAAGGACTACTGCATCCTCTACAACCCACAGTGGGCCCACCTGCCCCACGACCTGAGCAAAGCGGTGAGTACCCACTGGGGCGTCCCCTCTGGGGCCCTGCAGGCCCGGAGTGCTCTGGGGCGCCCCCTCCTGACTTGGGGTCCGGCTGTGTTGCTGGCTGCCACCCTGTGCTCCCCAGCCTGCTGTCTGAGGGGACTGCTACAAGTCTCACCCTGCAGGGAACCAGCTGGAGGACAGAGGAAGGGCCTCAGCTGGGAAGCCAACGTGGGGGGCCTGGTCACACTTGAGGGGCTGCTGGGGTCTCAGACCCCAGACCGTAGAGGGGCCCCATCACCTCTCTGGGGCTTGGTTTCCTTGGTCAGAAACAAAAGGACGTTCGGGTGGTGTTGAGGCACAGCCCCTGCCGGGGGCGCTGGCCACCCCCCACGTGCTGGATGGGCTTGTGGGTGATTCTCACTGCCGAGGCCACGGCTCCGCCTGCCCAGCCCGTGTTCCGTTTGCAGTGGATGCTGGGAAGGTTTCTGGGGGCTTTTCTCTGAGCTCACGCCACCCCCTGCCCCTCCCGTCGGCCTCGCACTCAGGCGTGTGGACGTGTGTGTGTGTGCGTGTGGCCCCCCACTGACTTTTCTAGATCAGGTGGTGTCAACGCCCCCTTCCCCAGTCCCTCCTGCAGCTGCGGGACTGGACGGCCTCTGTGCTCTGCTCTCCGCCTGACCTCCCGGCCAAAGGCTTCAGCAACCAGATCCCGCTGGTGGCGCGGGGAAACTGCACCTTCTACGAGAAAGTGCGGCTGGCCCAGGGCGGCGGGGCGCGCGGACTGCTCATCGTCAGCAGGGAGACGCTGGTAGGGCCCCGGGGCCTCGAGACCGGGGTTTGGTTTGCTGACCGTGGCTGCGGACCCGTGTCTCTTGGAGGGGGACCTGTCCCTGAGCAGTCGCGGGGGCTCTGGGGAGACCGGATCCCATCTCGCTCTACAAGGCCTCGGGGCAGAGCTCGGGGGGTACCCTCTGAGGAGCAGCTGGCATGGGCCCACATCCCACGCGCCTGCCTCTCCCCCAGGCGGCCCCCCCCCCCCCCCAGGGCAGAGTGACACCTGAGCAACCTGACCCCAAGGCTTGAACACGGAAGGAGAACTTTTCCTCCCCTGGTGGGGAGGGGCGGACACCCCCCCCACACACACACCCACCCCGGCCCAAGCTGCCTCCGGGAGGGCTAGCTCTTCAGGCCGCCTCGCCCTTGGGAAGCCAAGGGCCCCCCTCCCGCCACACCCTCCTCTCGGCCCCCAGGTCCCTCCAGGAGGCAACAAGACACAGTACGAGGAGATCGGCATTCCCGTGGCCCTGCTCAGCTACAAAGACATGCTGGACATTTTCAAGGTAGGGTTTCCCACGTCCTCCGGTCTGCGGCTGTTGCCAGGCCGTGAGTATCTGACGGGCAGGGGTGGGCAGGGACCCACGAGAGGCCGCCCACCCGGGGCCGGTGGTGACACTGACCCGTGGGAACGGAGACGCTGGCCCCAGCGGTCAGAGCGCCCAGGCTCCGGGGCCTCTGTGCCGAGCGGCAGCCGGACACTGGCTTCCGGGCCAGACCGGCCGGCCCCGCCCACTCGCCGGAGACCCTGAGCTTGGCTGTCCCTGCCCACACACGGCCCCGTCTGACCAGAGGCCTGTGTGCACCCACCATCGGGGGAGTTGTTGGTTCCAGAACAGGCGAGCTTCCAGACACAATTAAAATGGAAACGTTCAGGGGTGCCTGGGTGGCGCAGTCGGTTAAGCGTCCGACTTCAGCCAGGTCACGATCTCGCGGTCCGTGAGTTCGAGCCCCGCGTCGGGCTCTGGGCTGACGGCTCAGAGCCTGGAGCCTGTTTCCGATTCTGTGTCTCCCTCTCTCTCTGCCCCTCCCCCGTTCATGCTCTGTCTCTCTCTGTCCCAAAAAAAAAAAAAAAAAACATAGAAAAAAAAAATAAAAAAAAAAAAAAAAAGGAAACATTCAATCTTTGTGGAAGCTTCTGGCAATTTGCAGGACATGTCTCGATCCTGATTGCAGCCTCACAGCTCCCCCAAGGGAACCATTGTCAGCCTCCTACATGCTTCCCGGGGCGACGTCCCCGCTCCCGCACGTGCACACGCATCTAGGTTTAGGATTCGTGTCCCCGCACGCGCGTGGGCCCCTTCACCGGACGTCGTGTGACACTCGTTCCGACAGTTGACTTCTCTGGGGTGGGAGTGGCAGGCGAAGGCTCTCCCCGGGCCCCGGCTCCACGCGTGGGCCGGTCCGGGCTCTCTGGGAGGCCGAGGGGACGGGACGGCAGCCCCCGCCTTGAGCTCTGGTGCCTTCCCCGAGGCAGAGTTTTGGCCGATCGGCGAGGGCAGCGCTGTATGCCCCCAACGAGCCCATGCTTGACTACAACATGGTCATCATCTTCGTCATGGCCGTCGGCACCGTCGCCCTCGGGGGCTACTGGGCCGGGAGCCGGGACGTGAGGAAGTGAGTGTCCCGGGGAGACCTCTCCCTGGCCACCCAGGGAAGCCTGTGACGCGGTCGGTGCCGGGTTGGGGTCCGCGGGTGGTCCTAGCACTGGCCGAGGGCATCGCGCCCCTTTCCATCAAAAGCGGCCGTCACGGCTTGGCTCCTGGGGCTGGGGCCCGCCTGGCAGCCCCTCGCCGCGTGGTCTCGCGAGGTCCCTGGGGTGGGGTCCGGCTTTCTTGTCAAAGGGAGAGCAGGGATGTGTGATGGGCGTGGAGGGGGCGCCCCTCAGCCCGTGGACCCCTGCGTCCTGCTGCCCCTGCCTGTCCCTCCCTGTTCCTGTGCCGGCCGGCAGGGTGCCCCTGACCCAGCTGTGCCTCCCAAGAAGGTACATGAAACACAAGCGGGACGACGGGCCCGAGAAGCAGGAGGACGAGGCCGTGGACGTGACGCCCGTCATGATCTGTGTCTTCGTGGTCATGTGCTGCTCCATGCTGGTGTTGCTGTACTACTTCTACGACCAGCTCGGTGCGCCCCCGGCTCACCAGAGGGACGCTGAGGCCTGTACCCCCGCTCACCGGTCTCGGGTCCCCCCTCCGCCTGCTTGCGGGCTTCCACTTGAGAAGTCGGTGGTGGGGTGAACGCGGGCCGCCATCGCCAGCCCGAAGGAGGGGGCCTCTGCTCGGGGAACTGTCCCTCTCATTACCAGCTGCCGGCCACCCAGCTAGGGTGCACGAACACCTGGAGCCCTTTCTCGGGCGGGGGGCAGGGTGGGAGACCCAGGTGGCCCCCGGCCCTCAATGCTCGCCCCACCCCGCCCCGCAGTCTATGTGATCATAGGGATCTTCTGCCTGTCCTCCTCCACGGGCCTCTACAGCTGCCTGTCTCCACTGGTCCAGAGGCTGCCGTTCGGCAGATGTCGGTAAGCCCCCCGCGGGAGGCCCCTGCCCGGCCCTGCACCCCCGGCGCTGCTCACTGAGGTCCCACCTTCCCACCTTTCCTCGGCCTGTCCCTGGTGGTCTCCCGTCTCCTGGCCCCTGGAGCTCCAAGCTCTGCTTCAACGGTGCCGAGGACCCCCTCCCTGTCCTGTGGCCCCCAGCCAGTCTGGCGTGGCGTGGGCAGGCCACGCGTGCTCACTGAGTGCGGGCTGGGGCTCGTGGCCTCAGGAGTAGGGCAGAGCAGAGAGGCGGGTGGTGGTTCCCCAGCCTCTCTCTCCCTACATCCCATTCTGGGTCAGGCCCAGTGTCGATACCGGGGCAATGTGGATGCATGTGGGTCCAGGGCAGGGGCACAGGGCAGGGCCGTGTGGCCGAACGCGCTGCTGGTCCAGGCCCCTGGGGCTCTCGGCTGCCAGGGGCCAGTGGCCGAGCGCTGAAAGGTTTGAAGGAGGGCAGGGCCGGCTCGGCGCTGGCTTGGGTCTGTCCACTCCCACGTACCAACCCCTGCTCTGTCTGCCCTGGACCTGGGGGGCCTCCCTTCTAGAAGTCAATTAAGAGGTCAGGGCAGGGTTCAACAGGGAACGGAGGCGGGGGCAGCAGGAGGCCCCGTAAGGATGAGGGGCCCAGGGTTTGGGGCAGGGGTGGAAGTGACCCTCTGGGTGCTGGGTGTAGGTAAGGAACAAGCTGGCCCTGACAGCTGCACGCCCCCCTTCCCCCCCCCCCCCCCCCCGCCCCCAGGGTCCCCGACAACAGCCTGCCCTACTTTCACAAGCGGCCTCGGGTCAGCATGCTGCTCCTGGCGCTGCTCTGCTTGGCCGTCAGCGTGGTGTGGGGTGTCTTCCGGAACGAGGACCGGTGAGTGCCCCCCACCGCGGGCTGTCCTCAGATGCTCTCTGTGCTCGTCTCCCCGCGACTGTGAGCCGGGCTGTGTGGCGGCCAGGTGCCGCCCGCGTCCGGTGTCACTGGGTTTGTCGGCTGCCACGTGAACTGTGATTGGAATGTGGATATGGTTCCCGCAAAGCCTCCTGGCCCCGGGCGCCCTGAGCGAGCGCGTGTCCTCCGGGGTGCCCGCTGGTGCAGGGAGGCCCTGGCCGCCGGCCCCTGACACCACCTGGCGCTCCCTCTGAGCCTTTTCTGGGGCGGTTAACCGCTCTTGGCCGCACTGCCGTTTGGAGCCACGACAGGTTTAATTGGGCAGAAGGAAAACGTGAAAATATTTTGAGTCCTTTGTACACAAAGGGAACACGAGCTCTCACGGTTAGATTCGAGCCACAAGACTCGCTCTGTTCTTTAAAATTAGAACAGGCCCAGTTCCCTCTGCGTCTGGGCACCCACTGGCCGCCCGCAAGCTGCCTCTTTGTTCTTTGCGGCTGCTCCGGCCGGGAGATGTTTTCATCCCGGTCTGATGAGTAACCTGGGCCACGGCCTCCTTGCCGCCCCAGCGCGGGCGAGCCTGTGGACCGGGCGGGGTGGCTTGTGTGTGTGTGTGGTGGGGGGGGGGGGGCCCCCTGCAGCTGCGGGGGTGACAGTCTTACCCGCCCCCCCCCCGCCGCCACCTTGCAGTCCCTGAGCCCCCATTTCTGGGACCAAGAGATTTGGTGTAGAACCTGGCTGGCGAGCATTTGGCTTTGCTAAATCACATAAAAAATAGTTTTGAACATGAATAGACACTTCTCTAAAGAAGACATCCGGATGGCCAACAG